ACCGGAGCAAATATCGGCCTGTGGTTAATTAACCGCGGAAGTTTAATCAGTGAGAGTGACCCTACAACTCTGGATACGAAATAAAAGATAGCATACGATCAATAGCGGGGGTATAAATCTATTTTCCAAAGTTAGAGACAGGCATGGGAAATGATGCTATTCTCAGCGAAATACTGTATTTTTTTATCCCTCGAAATATAACTTGTCTCGCTTGTTTTTAAAGATTAGATATAAAATATACACCTTACAGAAAGATCTTTTAACTCTAAATAAATTAATTTACGATTAATTAATGAGAATCTATTATTGATAAAAATTTAATTACTTTAATCTTTTCATAAATATTAAATTCGTAATTTTTTTATGTATGAAAATTAAATATTGTAAATATTTTATGTATGAATATTTTGTATCGGTTACACAACATTAATTATCACCAATGTGCATTTTTTCTCGATATTAATTTTCTTTAGATTAATTTTCTACAGACGCAGAATACACGGAACACAGTGGAAATAATTAGAAAATCATTCTATTAACGATTGCAAAAGAGAAATTTATCTTCTCGTAAATCCCATTGTTTATATGCAAAGCATAGATACGAAGATATTTCGTTTATTGTTTTGAGAGACAAAAAAACAATAAATGATGCCACTCTGTACTGTGCTTTGCATATAAACAATGATTCGCAAGAAGATAAATTTCTCTTTTGCAGTTGTTAATAGAATGATTTTCTAATTATCTCCACTGTGTTTTGTCTGCAAAAATTAATCATATCTGTAAAAGATTAATTATAATATAGAGAAAAAAAAATGAGCGTTGGTAAAAATTAATTTTGTGGAACTGATACGAAATATAATTTTCATACATACGAGAAGTAAACTTTAATTTGCGAAGAGTAACTTTGCGTGAAATTTGTTCCTTTGTTATCGATAACTACAATGTTCAAATACATAGATACGCAAGCGCATAGTAGGCTCTGTGTAATAGCAGTACAAAATGCATTTTCGGAAACAAACGCAAGCGTCTTTTGTAAACCAACGAATAGATGAAAGCACTGCATTCACACAATAGACGCCTTTATTCCACATGAAAGGAGAAATCGCGATAGTCTCAGTCTAGAGGTGCAAGCCCTCTGGAAACAAAACATTGACCGTGGGTTAATTAGACGCGAACGAGTTATAAGCCCCTTATAATGCGCGCACGCAAATCAAATAACGTGTGCATCTCTGTCGTTATCTCGCATCGATGATGAGAAAAAAATTGGTCAAATCGGAGGAATCTATATTAGAGACTCATGCGAAAAGAAATCGATGTCCTAAGCACTTTGGAAAAAAATATAATTAGCAAAATACCCTGCAAGTTAAAGAATACATATTAACAATAATTAGTAATTTATTAAAGTATTTTATTTGATTCTCATTGTTAATAATACTCTCCGTAATTTGAAGTGATTCTTTCTCGATGGAAAATAGCCTTATTTGTTGTAATTTTTTTAAGTATACATTTAAATATCTAACAAATGGATTAGAGTATATTTTGCCAACTAAATCTTTTGCCTTAAATTAAAATTCTGGAACAGCTAGTTGGCTACTGAAGGCTGCTTGGATGTATGTCAACAAAAGTTTTATTCTAGCGTACTTTAAAACATGCCATGACATACTTTATATTGTGACTAACAATTAGTGTTTTACGTATTGTAACCTACTTTAACGTACTTTGACCTGCCGTCAGCAGTAATAAATAAAATATATACTTAGTTTGTTCTCATTAGCAATGAAATTGCTTTATTAATATAATACATTTATTTTGAGAAATATTTATATTACATATTATATATAATATAAACATTTTTATAATTTTATCTGTACATATATATATATATATACATATATATAATTTTTAAATAACGCGATGATAGAGAAAATCTATCATCTATATATATGTGTACGGATTCTATTTAACAATTCTCATATTTCTCTATTATAATTATGTATACTAATTTCAATTCACTTAGATAATAGTTTTTGATAAAGTGAATATTTCCTCGTCGAAAGATTTGCGAGAAACAACGTAGATTAAATGCTAAATTACCTTTCCTCCAATTAACAATGAATTCTTATACTTTGAGTATAAGAATTTCCTTATCCTTTTTCTCTATTCATTAAACGTTCTCCATTTCAGACTTTTATTTACTCGAAAGAAGAAAAAAGATGTAATTGAATAAGAATGGATTGATATTTTAGTCGTGCCAATTTCTTTTAACAGTCACCTAATTTAGGTCTGAAACAAACACTTGCTTAATGTAAATTTAATTGATCAATTATAACTCAATTATGTACTACGCTTTATCTGGAATTTCTATCATCTAGAAAAAGAATTTTGAGAAAGAAGCTTGGTTAAAGTCATTATTATGTTTACAGTTATTGTACAAAATAGTATTGAATCATAATACACACACATGTATAATAAACATATAATTTTCTTTCTCACAATTATCATTATCACTATTAAATATCTCGATGAATACAACAATTCATTAGGTTGCGTACATTAAGAATGAGGCTGATAACGCCGTGATATTGATTGAAAGTTTCCTCGTATCAATACTAATTACATACTTGTCACCCCTTGATTATCTCCAATCTCCGTAACAACGAATTAATATCGGCACACGCTATGACGCACGCGATATTGTATAACACAATTTATAATATACGGCATATATCTATTATCAACATTAATTATTCCGCGGGGTAGCTACGACGCACGGTGTGAGCAACTACGACAGTAATTAGCTCAGTAATCCACGGCACATTCTGTGCAGTTCCACGGAACACGGCGCCGCACGACGCGATGCGTCGCGTCGCGTCGGAGCGTTGGGAAGTAATTTTGTATGCAACGGGAGACGCGCCGGCCGAGTCCGTGGGAGTCCACAATTTCAATTGGAAATTATAATGGAAATCTACGCCCAGAATTTATTTCGGATCCTCCTCCGCGAGTCGCTAATCCGAGTGAAAGAAATTCGCGTTACACAACGTCGATTCACGACGCAAACGATGTTTACGTCGTGCAAGGAAAAAAGGGGAGATCTCTACGAAACCGTCAACTATCACAATCAACTATCGTTCGATATCAATACGAGTCGGGATTTGAAACGAGCGGCAGAAGAAAATGCAATTTCTCCTCTTTATTCCTCGATTCTTTGGTATGTTCGAGTATAACGAACGGTGTAATCCGGTATTACAAAATGGATACATGGACTGATATATGCACAATGTAATCGTCTCTATACAGGATGTTTCTTAAATATTGTTCAATATTTTAAGAGTTGATTTTTTTAATTTTATGATATAAAGAAAAGTACGAAAAATGTGAAAATATGATTTCAAGAGTCTCATTTCAGAGATATAAATTTAAACATAAAATTATTGTTTTTTTTTATAACTTTTAAACGAAAAAAGTTTTCTTCTTTAAAAACTTTTTTAGACCTAAAAAAAGTAAGATAATCGCAATAAATAGTATTATTAACTTGATACTTTTGAAAGAATTGAATTTACAATTACATAGAATGATTAATTTAATTTAAAGATATATCTATTTGTACCAAATTCGATGTCAATATCTTGAAAAAATTAAATATAAAAAATTAATTTATTTTTAAACTGTTTTTCGTTCAAGAGCTTTTAAGGAAGCGATTATTTTTAATACTTTGTATCTCTGAAAATATGTATGTAAAAAAATCAAGATCATATATTCATATCAACTTTTTATCATAAAATAGTCTCAAAAAACTTTTTAAAATATTAAACAGTACTTAAAAAAATATTTTGTATGATATGTATCTTATGAATATCGAAACGTGAAGTCCCGAACGCATTAATTAAAATTTACCTTTTTATTTATCATATAGATCTTTCAAAAGCTAAACTGATTCCACAAAATCGACGAAACTAAATGCTTTAGTACTAAAGTTTAAAAATTTATAAAAAACAAAATCGATCGATTTGGCTTCTAAGAAATTAGAATGCATGTCCGACATAACAAGGAGATAATCACTTAACTGTGAGAGTCCTCAAAATCATTATAAAATTCATATGAAATCTCTATATATAATCCGATAATTACATATGCAATCACGAGAAATCATTGTATAATATTAAATAAAATTGTACATTTTATCAAATGACTTCATAGTAGTGAAAAAAATTATTTTTATAATCGGATGAAATCATATAAAATCATGTAATCTACGGGACGCAATATTTCAGCTGATGATTACCCCCCTCGCGATATAATTTTTAGTTCGATTTCTGTGGCGATAAAAATCCGTGTTAATCCGAGTATTGGAACTCCGAATATTCGAGTAATAAGACGCATGTACCACGCTGTGCTGTACAACTCGCATTGATCCGTCTTGACTTTCGTTCGTCCAATACATACATATATACACACGTAGCATGGTACGTTCAATATGAATAATGGATTCAAATCAAACCAGCCGTTTAGCGTGAAAGCGTGTGCCGCGGATTCGCGTTTGTTTGCATATGCGGATTTAATCTGCGTAATTTGTGTAAGTCGCCTTCCGATCGCTCTCTCGTGCGAGCGGCCGAAAGCGCGCGCGTGACGGAAGACGCAATTATTAAATAACAGGCAAAATGGTAACGGGAGAAAGAAAGAATAGCGGAGAACGAAAGAGAGCTAAAGAGAAAGATAAAGAGATGGAGAGCGCAATCGCTTTATCGCCGGTTGTACTCTCTCGGCTTTAACATGTTGCAGCGGCAACAACAACGAACATGGTGCGCCACGGCGGAAATAACGCTCGACTTAACTTACAAGAGACACGCCATCGTTTCCAACGGGAACGTCCCGTCGTTGTCGCGACCCCTCGTCGATGTGTACTCGATTACCTCGATAACGGGGGCACCTCGACGAATAACGCCGATCGATTTCGGCAACCGATTTACTAACGGATCCACCTGTCTCTCTTGCCGTTTCAGGTGACAAGATGGCAGCGATACAGCGTCGCAAAACGTCGGCAGCGAAGAGGAATCTGGCGGGCGTGCTGGTACCAGTGGTACTCGTCGTAGCGGGCGTCGTTTTAGCGCGATAAGCGTTTTACTTCGAAAATGTCCATAACTATTACGTCATTACTTCCGTTTGTGATAGATAGGATATTACCCTTCCCCTTCCTCTTTTCCCCTCCGGGACTTTATGGTCCGCTCATCCTCCCTTCCTTCTTTTTCATCTTTTCCAGCAACCCCCCAGGCTCATATCCTTTCCTCATCCATTCCTCGCGGGTCTCCTTTCCTCCTCAAACCACACTCCCGTCTTCCATTCCATCTTCCAACCACCCTCCCTTCCCTCATCCTCACTCGTCCCTCTTATTCTTTATTTACTTTAGTCGAAGTTGCCGCCGGCTGGACTACTTAGATATGCGAGATTTTCGTGGAAGATTGCGCGATTGCCTGCTCCAAGTCATTACACGCGACGCGCATGCGACTCGAATTATGTAAATATTGCCCGGGTCGAATACGCCACGACGAGGCGGATTACGTTAGGCAAGGCCTGTCCAACTTTCCGGGGCACCGATCTGCTGATCGTCCGTTTTCGACAGACCAGATTTCAGGCCGGTCGGATGGAAAATTCACGCGGTCAGTGCAAACGAATCGATCGTGTCGCTAACAAGGTGAGACTATATATATCTCGGAAATCGAAATAATTGATTAGGTGGGTTCCAAAAGCACAGACCTGTAGATGTGTGATACAATGCATGTGTGATACAAGTCTATGCGTCGCTCATATCTGTTACAAACACTGCCTTTCCTTTAAGAACATTTTTTACATTATTTATATTTACAAATGTTATCATCCTTACAATTTTAATTCTTGTACTTGTGTGTTGTGGTTCCGAAATTATCGATTTAAAAAAAAAATGACCAAGTAGCGTATATAAACCGAGATTTGATAGTTTTTTGGGAATGTGTCGCTCAAGTGATTTTAAACAGAAATCACCATTTGATACAAATCAGAATTAGAACAGTTGCAATAATAAAATCTAGATATTCGAAGATTATTTGGTATCAAGAAAATATGTGACTGGATTCTTCTTTTATTGCAAAAAAATAACATTCGGCTCAAGGACAAATAACATTGGGGCTCTCTTCGAATAAATTACAAATATAATAACGACTTTATAAGATTCACGATTTTACAGTAATATAAACGACGCAATTTTTTAATTATAAGATAATACGATAAGCATGAAATTGACTGGTTTGTACATTATTGTAAATTAAATAGATAGACTGTAGAAACTATATTCGATATATTTTACAATTTTACATTAAAAAAAATATATTTAATAATAGTAGGGATTAATGCGACAGCATTGCGACTAATTGACCGTTGTCACAAATTAGTTCGAAATCATAAGTTAAAAATCAAATTAGTTTTGCATCGACTATTTACAGCGTGTCGAGTTGTAATAGAAAAAGCATCTCTTTGCAAGATGTTCACTCATCTTGTTAAGACCGTAATAACTTCGTAAGTATTTCAAATCAATCCGAATATACCGCACAATACGACCTCTTTCCATTTAAATCCGCTTGAATAACACGTTCCCGCGAAGTCTCGAAAATTTCTCTTGGGATACACAAACATGAAAAATAAAAAGGACGAATACATCTAGAAAATACCAGTCAAAACGGGAAAATTCACGTTGACGCTCGCGAACGCGATTGCGAAGCGTGCGTTTCTGCTCACGCCACAATCTTACGTTTTTCGTTTCGTATAAAAATTGTTATGAAAAACTGTTCCTTTTTACAAGCGAGAGCGCTCTTTGCGACGTCGCGTCGTGACGGCGTTGCGAGATGGAGATCGCACCGTCGGCGTCGCGTCGCACGAAAACGCGTTTATGGCACGACACGGTGCTGCAAGAGTTTATTGCACGCGGAACAAACGCGAACAAAGCGCGGTACGTACAGCAATTTCGGAGCGTCGCTCTCACGTCATTAAAGACCATCATTAAGGCGTCTCGCGGCCGCGTTGTTACAAGTTATAGAATTGGATGAATCGTCGTTACATTCAAAGAAACACCGGGAAAAAGATTGTGCGAAAAAGAAGTCGCGTTGTAACTTTTCGCAGAATTTATATATTATTACTTTTCAATTAAAACCATAGCTTCACGAATATTTTGAAACAATTTGAATACCAATATCAACGTAAATAACTTTTTCATTGTTATAATATAGCGAATTTGTTTTATAATAATGATTAATAATGAAGATAGCTGCCTTCATTTTGTAATAAAATTGATAATGAAAATAATTGTCTTTGTTATATATAAATCATTGTTAGAAAATAATCTCGCCAACGTCATCACGTCCATTGCCGAATGTTATTTTATTATATACGAAAATTATATACGATGATAGGTATATGGCATATTTTCTTAACATTATGGAATATACGCGTAAATATTTGCTCGTTCTATATAAGTTAAAGAACCATCAGCTGAATATTGAACAATTTGACATTGTGACGTATGCTGCAAGAATCGAGAGTCACGATAGCTCTAATTTTAAAATTGCAGGCGAATGTTACGTCGTCCCTCTTGTCATAGAGCACAATTTCTCTCGGTGCTCTTCGCCCTTACAGCTTTTGTTCTTCGACTTATTCATTATTGAACTTCTGATCTATTATTCATCTAGAGTTCTGCAAATAAATGACACACTATTACGTACAAATACATCAGTATGATTAAAAATAACACTGTAAGAGACATCATCATGGCATCATTGAATTATACTAAAGCGTAATGAAACTCATTTATGAGTTATGAATAACGAAATCTACATGAACTGATCTATTATTCTAAACGATTTCTATTTTACGAAATTAGCATTATCATTGTTCTCCACTAGAAGTATCGGAGATTCGTAGTTTTGTACGTACACAAGATTTTTCAAGCGGACGAATTCACGAATAAAGATATGCATCATTGAGACGGGTTGTTACAATGCGGTATCGTCAATTAGGCATAAAAGCAGAGCTCACCAGTTGGACAGGCCTAATACGTGGGCTCACTGGAACGACGGCGGCGGAAACGCGTCATACTTGGCCTCGCCGGCGTTATTTTTGAGAGACCCACGAAACCATCACGTAGCGTCGTTTTCTCTCGCCCGAAACACTGTACACATCCGATACGCGTAGCGATTAAGACGATTCAACGGTTCTTTCTGTATATTATCTTAATTTAAGGTGAGACGTGCGCGTGTGGAGATACCAAAAGAAAAGAAAACAAAAGAAAAAAAAAGAAAACGTAGGAAAAGTAGGATAAACGGTATTTTGTCGGGAATCGAATCCTTGCTCCATCTTCGTTTGTGTACTTATGCGTTATTCAGACGACACGTCTCGGGGAAATATTTCCTGAAAAACGTCTCGCTTCTTCCATGCACGGAAGACTGATACGTCAAGGAAAACTCACAGGTGGGAATTCAAGAACATATATGCCCGGCGTTTTAATCCTTGAGGGATGCAGTATACGTGAGATTCACGCAGCCGCAATGAAATCTTGGCGTGTCGGAAACTAAACGAATAAAAGGTACGTAGGATACGAGACATGACTAGATGACGTGGAGAACGGCGGGCCCCCGAAGCTCTCTTTGAGATTCTTCTTACAGACGCGAAATCACATCTAATGGAAATCTCACAAATTTGACACTTGAGAACCACTTTACCGTTGAAAATCACGTATATACGTCGCATCGTCGATATTATGTCTTCGAGAGCGCGGTCTGTATGTGACGCAATCTGTATCGATATAGCGATTTATTGTAGTAAAATACACGATATGCGACGTAAAAAAAAGAAAAAAAAAAGAATCCTCCTGCTAGACTTCCATTCTCCGAAACATGATGGCGAGATCTGCTGCTGCCAGCATCGACGAAAACGTACTCGTATATCGGATAAATCGCATGTGTACCACATTTTCAATCGCAAATCTGTTACGTCTAAGACTTAATCGACGGCGGCACGATTATCTAACACTAGTTTGGAACGTGAAAGTTAGAAAGGATACTATCTCATTTTTAGAATTTTAATATAGCTATCTTTGTTTATAGAAGATATTTATAGAAGTATAAATTGTTGATTCGGGCGAAAGTAGCCTTGTAATGATCGTTATTCGTGAAACTACTAATCAAATTTTATTGCCGTTATTAAGTATACTTTGTTCAATAAACTCATTACTTTTCTTTGGTTCTGTCTAAATCTCTCACCTCGAAAGCGGTTAATAGTTTTACGAGGCAATTGATCATACTCTAATGGCTAGTATAGTTCCCACGGTAGAAACAATAGCGTAATATTTCACAAGCTCACATTCAACAATTCGTTCTGAATTTATCTGCGTTTAATAATAATAAGCGCGCAAATAAATATAGCGCGCATACTGCAGTAATTTTAACGGGCCACGCTTTCTGGTACGTAAAACACATTACACAGATTCGTATGCATGAAAGTCCGTATGAATCATGTGCGTAGAATTCGTGGAATTCCTATCTACATCCTGCAAATCTAAAATTTTAATGAAGTTACCCAGGACATAAAAGTGAAAAAAATTCCTTTTCGAATAATGTCTTCGTATGAATGTTATAAAACTCAAATCCGACCCATATCACATTGCGTGCTAGCATTACTTTATTCGTTATTACATGAGCATACATTGTCAAAGGATTTATCCTGATGCGCCACGAAGGCAGACGTATCGTTAAATGTTTTGTTCTGCCTCGTGACAGAGAATCTCCTAGCGATATTTATAAAACTCTTATTCTGACGTCGAAATACAAATAGTTTTCTCTCTTTCTCTCTCTCTCTCTCTCTCTCTCTCTCTCCCTTTCTCTGATCGGATCTATTATCCATTATTAATAGAAATATGCAAAACGCGAGATGTCAATTCTACAGAACGCTATTACTATAGATCTGTCACCATGTCAAACCGTTCGTTTCCTTTAACTTTTGATCGTCCATTCGTGATAAATTTACGGTTACAGCTTTATCACTCGCGCTGTTTGAAATTCAAGCAGTCTACAAAGCGGTTACCGAAATTCAACAAATTTTACGATCCCTTTCCGACAGCTCTCTAATCGTCCCTCGCGATCACCTTGTTACTGTAAGTTAATAGCTCCTTTACGTGTGCTCGAGTCGTCTTTCTAGACCCAAGTATCTATTTGCACGCGTTAGAACGTATATAAAGCACGTATACAAATGTATGTGTATTTATATTATTTATTTTGTTTATTATTTTTATTTACTGTAACAATATATAAAATGGTTTTATTAACACTTCGACTGCCATGTGTATATGTACAATTGAATATACACCTATGTATGTACAGAGCATCGCCAAATCAATTTTAGTCAGTGTCAATTTAATACAGTTTTTACTGTCACCTTTATATGAACCGAAAATCAACTTTTTGCATTGATTTTATATACAGAGAGTTTACTGAAATCTTGTAAAAAATTTCCCTGGGAAATTTTTTCTAGGTATTTTTATTCAAAATTCCAGGTAAAATTAGAAAATTTTTTAATGCAATTTTGAAATAAATAGAAGTGCAAGCAACATAAATAAACTATTTGAAATTAGTAGAAAATAAGGAATTTTCACGAAACTATATTATTCCCTGCAATCTATAGGATAGGGAAGGCTCACCATAAAATAATTATTAGTTCTACTCTATTCTGCTGAGTAAACTATTGTTTTCTACTATTCCCTTAATTTTTTTATAAAACCTGATGAAATACAAAAATATATATGAATGTATGGCTGTACTTGTACTGCTGATTGTCAACATTTTATCAAGAAAAAATGATTATAGAGAAACAATGTTTTGAGAATAAGAATTTAAGTTGAAAATATATAAAATTCTAAAAATTGCCCTGAGACCCAATAAAATTTCATGAAAATCCCTTGATTTTCTCATGATTTTCAAGAATAAAAAGAAATCTAAAAATTCCAGGTTTTCCGTGTAGTAAACATTCTGTATATATATTGTAAATTCTGGAGAGATTTTCAATTTTGCCAAAGACTTTTACTAAAAAATATATTTATTGAAAAATGTATTCTAAAATGAAAAATTTACTTTAAAATTACATCATATAAAAAATAGTGTAGCATTAGGGAACCCATTACAAAAATCCCTGCGGCAGTCAAAGGATTAATAAAAAAAAATGTATAACCTTCATGATCCTCTTTAAAAATACGAACTTTATTCTTCCAAAAAAGATTGAATCGATAATAGAAAATAACATTTGCTCGTTTATATTTTTAGAATGTACTTCGGTATTATAGATAATCTTTTTTATTACATGCACGTGACTATTTCGAGTCATTATTGCAGTATTTTATATATATATATATATGTATATATATATATACATTAATTTGTTAGTACGTTATTTCTGATCGTACGAATAGACCTTCCAATTATGATCAGTTATCAATTCACCATTCCAGATGGACAAATACAATTCTGTCAATATACATATTCAATATTAATCCTAGAATATCTACGAACAAAATATATCTCTATCATGACGTTATTTAATTGAACTATTGTCTATATCAGTATTGTCATATTGGCACAATTATTTTTACACTCATACTATAAATACCCAGAAAAAAATATTTTCCTATTAAATCAATAATAATAAACTAAAATATATTTAACTAATTAAAAAATAACGTTTTTCAATAATACAATATTTTAACGAATTTCAACGGCATAAAATTGAAAATTTCCAAGAGGAAAGTGCAGTTTTTTGGCGCTACGAAGAAAAAAATCAGAATCTCTTGGAGATAAATTATTCATTACAGAGTTTTAGTTAATAAAACAGCAACTTTTTATCTCAACTTTTTTTCTATCTCTGT